TTAGTCTTGTGTTTTTTTTTGCTAAAAATGGTTCATATCATCAGTTAGCTGAGTTTCTTCCAGTTACATGGATATGAAACATTCATAGTTTATTACATCTTAAGAAGCCCTCAGACACTGTTGCTTGCAGATGTTGTGGTTTTGGCCCCTTCGGCGGCGGGTCCGTGGGGCTAAAGAGGTTAAGTAACCGGCCTTTAGGGTTACATTTCACTCACCCTTGGGTGGCATGTCTAGCATGCAGAAGGGTGATGAGCGAGAGATGACCTCCTGCCCAATGATAGAGAAGCTGTAGACATCTCCTGTTAAAGTTCCCCTTTTCCTCAGAATGGGACTTCTCAGCAGCTCAGGAGCCGTCCAAAGCAGATCTTTAACGAGCGAAAATATGCAAAGATGAATAAGACTATTTGCAAATATAGTAAATTCATTTGTGGATTCACATGAACTCACCCTCATTATTTTCCTCTTCAGTGTTTAAGCCTTGGGCAATCACAATTTCATTGTAGCCATAATCTGTCACCTTCAATACGAAGCGACCGTCTACCAGACAGTTTCGGGATTTGAGTCGTCCGTGGATGACGTCCCGATTGTGGAGGTACTTCATCGCCTGATAAAAGATGTGAAGGGTGAGGAAATGTGACAAGATGGGAAATGAAACACATGTTGGTCATTGTGTCGCTCTTACCCGAATCAGATCCATTAACAGGGAGGACTTGAACATCCAGTCGAGACGCACTTCCTCGTTGTTGATCAGATCCTCCAAGCTGCCCCTGGAGCAATGCTCGGTCACAATAGCGAAGATCCCAGAGTCGAAGAACAGTCCCAGGAACAGATTGAGGTTCTCGTGCCTCATGTCTCTGAGCTGGAAGACAAAGGAAACATCAATTAACTTTACGTTACAAGAGGAATATCCATTTAGGGACGAAGCTCGTCTTTATTTGGTGTTTTCTGGCAACAGTCAGGCTACTCGCAGATTGGCTTGCAGATATCAACCATTGATTATCTGGTCTAAGATGCTTTAAAGTGGACCTATCATGCTATATTTGAAACATATATTGTAGGGCCATACCTATACAAAACATGTCTGTGAAGTTTTTTTTTCAAAATACCAAACAGTTCACCCATTGTAGCCATCCCTCATACTGCTCAAACCCCTCTTTTGCAGCCCTGTTAGAGAAACGCAGATTGTGGGTCCTTAGCTTGAAAAAGAAGAAGAAGAGGAGGCGGAGCTAATGCCTGATCAGAATTCTACCGGAGATAAAGTTAAATTCGGTTGTGGTAAAACGCCATCCTGTTCTAAACCACATCAAGGATTATTTCTGAAATAGTATGGAGCTCAAATGCTTTTTTTCTTGCGGGTTTATCACAAGGTGAGTTCTTTTTTTGTTTCCTGCTTTTTAAACACGTGCTCTCCAGTACAGGTTAGCTCTGAGTGTTAGCGAGGCTTGCTAATGTAAACAAAGACGTCCAAAGCACGTCAGGCATTGTTTC